TGTTAGTTAGTTTCTCTCATGCCATTACTGATGGTTTTCTCTCTTTGAATTCTTATTCTAAGCAACTTGGTTTTGTATCACTTTGTTACACAGCTGACCACTGGAACACCAAACATGTCATTAGAGACCAAAGACAGTACTCTGATATGCAACAGGAAGCATGTAGGTTCACATTGAACATTAGGTCCAAAATAAAGCCAGCATTTCATATCTTACGTTACATCTCAAACCCTAACCGAGAATGTCAACCTTCAGTTAACTATTTTGTCACTTTTCTTTCTTAACCGACTGTTAGTTATGGTTCTAGTTTATAAACATACTGATGACTAATGCACATATCCATTTTTCTCATTCATTTCTTTTTTTTTTTTTTCTAAAAAGATGACCGGTAAGAGGATCTTAACCCTTGACTTGGTGTTATCAGCACCACACTCAGCCAGTGATCGAACCGGCCATCCCTATATGGGATCCGAACCTGGGGCCTTGGTGTTATCAGCACCGCACTCTCCCGAGTGAGCCACTGGGCTGGCCCTTTCTCATTCATTTCTAAGTCATTACCTGAAATAGAATAAAATACAATATGTAAGAAAGTTTAAAAACATGACAAGTCTTCTTGAACTAAAACAGAAAACTGTACAGTAAGAAAAACTACATGTAGAATCACTGACATAAATTTATTGAAGCAAAATGTACAAATTATGAAAATCTGCAATCTCTGTTATTATTTTTTGCATGCCTTTTTATTGGCTCTTCATGAATGTCCCACTAACTCCTGAAGGCTTTCTCCCCTCATACTCTTAAGGATGTCACCACAGGTACTTGTTAGAAGCACAGGTCACCAGGGGTTGAACCTCATCACCCAGGAAACTTGCCCTTCAGGGTTTTACAAGAATATTTCCAATGGAACAAAGTTACTGTCTTTCTAAGTACCAACACCTCCTCCCCCATATAGGCAGTGTATACAGAAATCTGAATAAATGAAAACAACAAGCAAACAAAAGTAGCAAGAATTGACACCACGAAGGATTAGACATGAGAAACAGGGAAGAGTCCAGAAAACATCCCATTTCACTGGCTTGGGTCACTGCATAGATCATAGTGATACCACATGTAAGAGAAAAGAAGTAGATGTCATTTTCATTTTGGATTTGTTGACCTTAAGGTACCTTTTGAATAGCTACAAAAAGCAGTCAACAGCGAGTTGAACCTATGACCCTAGGAAAAGAGAAGAAGTAGAAAAGGGTAGAAGCTAAATAGAACCAAGAGTGCAAACTACAGAAAAATGAATCAGTCAACAAGAAGAACACAGTGAGAAGAATAGCACCCAGAATGAAGCCCTGTGATGAGCAATGTTTAGAAGAAGAATTCAAAGAGAGAAAACCATCAGTAATGGCATGAGAGAAACTAACTAACACAGAAGAATTTCCATGACAAGATCATGAACAACAGCTTCAAATGTGGCAGAAGATTCAAGTTAGAAAAAAACTACATAATAGGCACTGAATTTCACTGTAATTTAAGTGATAATTCCATGTTTTAACCATGAATCAAGTACAGTCTTCCAAATCTGTACACAAACCACAGGACTTGTAAGTGAAGCCATCTTGAACCAACAGCCTCAATCACAGCACCACGTCACTAAAGCTACATTTGCCATCCAGGTAACACTAGCATGAAAACTGCCCAGTTGAGTACATTCAGCATGTCGATCCACAGAACTTCAAGGAAATAAAATGGCCAAATATTTGAAACAATTGCCTTTTGATTTGTTCTTACACAGCAAATGCTAAATAATACATGAAAGCCCCCAGAACTTGGTATATTTAAACAAAATTCTGTGGGTGAGAAACTCTTAAATTACTTGAAACCTTACAGTCTGCTTATTCAGCAACATGTGCCTTAGCACTCACTAACCATTTTTGCTGTGGAAAGCTATGTGTTTATTTCCAGGTTGGCAGTCAAAAACATTCTAATAGAAATGGAATTTCAGAATTTAGTGCCATGGCCAGCCCGTGACTCACTTGGGAGAGTGTGGTGCTGATAATGCCAAGGCCAAAGGTTTGGATCCCCATATAGAGATGGCCGGTTAGCTCACTTGGGAGAGCATGGTGCTGACAATACCAATTCAAGGGTTAAGATCCCCTTACCAGTCAGCTTTTTAAAAACAACAACAAGAAATTTAGTGCCAATAAATCCTCATATCCCATGAGAATTTGGTATATTCTCTTCTCAGATTCCATTCCAATCAAGTAAAAAAAAAAAGTGTTGGCCTTTTTGGCATGACATTAGAAAGACCAGAGACAAATTTTTAGTCAACTTAGATACTCTGAATTATTATAACTGTATATCTACATGCAAACTTGACCTCACATATATGTACATTTCCTTCAAGCTGAGGTTTACTCATTTCTATTTTTCCATTTTAATTCATGCTCCCCATAATACCCAGGTAATACAGTGAAAAAAATGAAGAATAAATAAAGAAACAACTCACCAGAGATTTATCCACCTTTTCTTGCTCTTGGAAATGCACAGTGCACTCTGGCAGCTTAGCTGGGAGAGGAGGGAATGGAGTGGATTAAGGAGAGAACTGTTGTGGCTCGACCCCAGATTCTCCTGACCAAAACTCTCAACACATTAGCTGAAAAAGACAAACAAACAAGAAGCCACCCTGTGAGACAACAATCCTTTATGGTCAATAAGTTGCATCAAAGACCCATTAAATGTGCATCTGCAAGTACATTAATTGATACGCATTAGACACACAATTTATTTTTGGAGTTAATAAAAACATACATTACCTACTGATTTAGCAAGAATCAACATTACCTAAAATAAAACTTCACCATTTAAACTAAAGAAAAACACAGTGTGTCATTGCTAAAACTAATGCCATAGAAATACAGTTAGGCTATATTAACTATTTTCATATTAATGCAATGACTCCACACATGACTCCAGATAAGTGTTTCCACTACAACACATCTTGTTTATATGTACCTAAATATTTGCTTAGTACGCATCATGCAACCCAACATCTTTTACTCACGATCATCTAGGTAAAAAATGTACATTATGGGGCCAGCCCATGGCCCACTTGGGAGAGTGTGGTGCTGAAACCAAGGCCAAGGGTTCAGATCCCCTCTCCGGTCATCTTTAAAATAAAATAACATAACAAAACATAAAATAAAATAACATAACATAACATAAAATAACATAACATAATATAATGTAACATAACAACATAAAATGAAATAAATAAGATAAAATGCACATTATGTGTATTTCTTTTGGTACACTATTCCAGTATTACTCAGCGATGGACCTCCCAGCACCCAAACCCTCATGTAGTATGCTCTGACAATGAACTGGGCTTTTCTATGTGACTCGATTTCGCCAACAGCACATTAACAAATGTCATGCAAACATAAGTTTGACAAGTACTGGCCACTGGTGATTGCCTTCTTAAACACAATCATAGAGTGAGGAAGCTGGGGCTACACTTTTGGAGACACAGGGCCCAGCCAAGAGTCAGCACAAACCACAGGATATGTGAGTGAAGCCATCTTGAACCAACCAGCCTCAGTCAAGTCACCAGGTGACTAAAGCTGAACTGCCCAGCTTAAACACAACCAAAATATGGATTCATTGAACTTCAACATGATAAAATGCCTAGGTTTTTAAGACATTTGGGTTTTGATTTGTTCCTTACATGGCAAATGCTAAATGATACACCTAAGCCCCCAGAACTCAATATGTTTTGAACAAAATTATGTGTGGGAAAACACCTTAAATTATATGTCAAATACAATCAATAAACCTTCAAAACTGCACGGACAAGTTGTGAAAATTACAATGAATGTCAATTAAGAGGACTTCATTGAGGTTCCTGGCGCTAATGCAGGCTATGTGAACCGATAAAACCAACTGCTTGCACAACAGTAAACTATCGTTCAAGATTTTCTGTTTTTTTGTTTTAATATCATGTAAAAGTTGTTTACTTTAAAAACATAAAAAGTGTCTGTTTCTTATAAGTTAGTAGTGAACTGTACCAGAGTACTTTCGAAAGTTCATGGAAAAATATGATTAAAAGAAAATAGGGATCTCTCCATGAAGTGTTTGAAGCACACTAGTATTCTAATTTTCCCATTTAAGTAATGTAAAATTGACTCCTATATATATATATCGGCAAAATTTGTGATTTTCAACAACAGAATACTGACATTAAAGGAAATACTTGTTATTTACTATTTCTTTGTGGTGGCATGATCCACAGAAAGCGATGGAGATCAGAAAAGGATAAGGATGTGTAAGGCAATGTATGTTAAAGCATACATTGTTTTAAGTTGACTTCAGCATTACAGAAGTAATCTCAACAGTGAACAAATAGTTGTTTTGATGGAAGTGTGGCAAAATGGAGAACAAGCAAAAAGTCAGGATATGTAAGATCAACAAATCATGTTACCCTGGGCAACCCACATTTCCTCATATCTAAGAATTTTCACTTTTCTTCCAAGATAGAAATACCTCGCAAAATATTCCTGAACTATCAGAAAGAAACTATGAAGATATAAAACCATCAGCATATCTCTAGATGCCAAAACTGACGATAGGCTGGGTTTGAGAGAGCTCAGACACTTGGAACAATGAGGGAAGATTGAAGGAATGAGAGTGTGTTCAGAGAGCACTGCAGACAGATACTCTCAGCTGTGACATTCCTGCACCCCACAGAAAACCTTCGAACCTCTTCAGTGACTAGCGTGGGCTGTGAAAGCTGCGCCTTTCTGGGACTCTTTTACCTCTGCTCTGAAGCAGTCCTGAGAGGGTTCTGGCCACAACGATCTTCTCCCAGGTGGGATTCCTCTTCCTATTCATAGGGCGCCCTCCTTCAAACTCTGTCACAGCTCCTGTACCCCAAAGAAAACCAGACTGTCATCTCATACCGCAATGTCCCTCCTAGAAGTCACTGTCCTGGAAACAAGGTTGTGTATCAACTTCTGTAAATTCAAACCAGGAGCGCTAGGCAGGCTGCACAGTGCAGGAGGGACCAGAAACGACCTCCTGAAGAGACACCCACGACCACAGCAGCCACAGAGGAACAGTCTGCACACACCTCACAATCCCAGATTCACCTCTGGGATGTCCACACGCTCACGTTACAGATGGCGAAGTGGACTTCCCATAGGTCGGTACCAGGTTCCTAATGGCGGAGCTGGAACGTGACCTCCCCACACC